TGTAGAGGCAAGGTCTCACTATGTTGCCTAGGCTGGTCTTGAACTCCTGAGTATAAGTAATCCTCCTGCCTCTGCCTCTCAAAGTGCTAGCCACCATGCCTGGCCTGACTTTTCTAATGAGTTATTGGGTCTTGAAATGTTCAATTTAGCAGAAAATCTTGTATTGTCCCCTGGGGCTATCTCCTATGTCTTCCTTCTTAGAATTTTCCAAGAAGCTAAGGTGTTTTCTAAGTCCAAGGAAGGCAATCTTGCTTTACAAGTCAGAAGAGGGAAAAGAGGCCATTCTAATTTTTCTGTTGTTTCCATGGATTCACTTGCTGTATTGTTGCCATTGTAACTGGTCCTGCAATCTGATAATGATTGACTTTTGCCACCAGGATGCATTCACTGATTCAGACCCCTCAGTTTTCATGGTGATTCATATATAGAGTTCAAAGCTACGGTGTTTACTAGTTTATGTACTTATGCTCAGCCATTGTTCCCAGCACCTTGCTCTGGGAGCCAGGCCTCCTAGCTTTACCCACACAAATGGTGAGCAGATTGATGCTTCCCCTACACTAAAAACATTATTTGGAGCCCACATCTTAGCTAGACTTAGCTTAGGCTTTCATGGTAAGTTAGCCTTTGAGACCCCTGTTGGTCTTTTCTCTAACAAATATTAGTTGAGATTGTTCCCACCAGTCAGAGATGTTCAAATAATGTTACAGGAAGAGATTAGAGTTCCCTTTCCCTTTTCCTATCAAATTTGTATCTTGAGGCTTTTTTATATCCTGTGCAGCAGCTTTGGTTAGATAGCAAAAGGTTCCATGTTGTCTTTCCACAGAGCAGTGGAAACCAACTTGCAGTTGGCCCCTCAAGTAATCCATTTCTACAATAATAAAAATCTCCCAGGCTACTTGCATATCTACCTCAAGTTTTAAATATATTTTAAAGTTCTACCTCACAGGAAGCCATTCAGCAAAATTCTCTGAATCTCAAGCAGGTGAGTTGGATTTAACAGAGGTAAACTTCATCTATGACTGATGACTGTCCATGTATAAAACAGGGCTTTGTACTTGCTTCAGCAGCATATACTTTAAAATTGGATCAATAGATAAGCAAGCATAAGCATGGCTGCTGCCTAAGGATGGCATACAGATTCATAAAGCATTCCATATTTTGCATTGCCCCTGGAAGGTCATTTGACTATTTTTTGACCAGCTCCAAGGAAGCAGTATGAGTCAAGTCAAAACAGGAGATACCTGATATTAAAATTATGATTATCACTATAAAACTATTGATGTACAGTGATCTATGAAATGAGAACAGAGCTGAGTAACATATGGGGTGGTAAATGCAAATATGTTGTTAGTACATGTCTTGGAAATGGGAAAATGTCAACTTGCATTTCCTTCATAAACCTGAAAAACAATAAAAGCAGGGTTTTTTTCTTGTATGTTAGTTGGAGAGGACCATGGAGATCGAGCATCCTGGCACAGATGTGCCGGCTCAGAGTTTGAGGAGGTAGAGAAGGAGTGGTGGTTGTCCGAGCCAGGTTTTGACATCTGTTAATTTTCTGCTCTTGGTGTGATTGATGAGCTCAGTAATAGGGGACAATTATGTTATCTATTTTAATGAGATAATATATTTACATATAGATTTAGTTATAAGTTATGAATTAGCTAAAATGCCCTGAATTACAAGCCACAATAAATACAACTAATAAACAAAATTAGCACTTAGTAACGTTTTATGAAAACTGCAACATTTGAATATTAGAAGGTATGGAAAATCATACATCAAGCTTTATTTGGGACTCCAAAATAGTTTCAGCAGTAAAGTTCAAGAATAAGTTAGTCCACTGCTTTACTATTTCTCTGAACATTTAAGCATATAATCTCATTACATCTTCCTAACAACCTAGTGAAGTAAGGTAGCAAAATTACTATTTTTTAGAAGAAACCGTGGAGAATAAGAGAAGCAACTCATCTGAACACAAATACCTATTGGTTACAGAGCAAGGGCTTGTTCTTAGAGCAGGACACTTTGCACGATGTTCAGCTAACTATAGTTAATTTCTTGAGCTGTGCTCCCTCCATTTATGAGTACTTACCTTTTAAAAAATTTAATTAAAAGGCTAATAAACTTTTAAAGCTTAAAATTTTGAAGTGTATGGGACAAAAAAAAGTTCTGGTATTAGCGCTGATATTGCCTGAAAGGGTTTAAGAATTTAATATGTTTGGTAAACATTTTTTATATTAGTATTAAAATAGCAGTTTTATTTATTACTTTTTTATACATAGAATTTGACACCAAATTTTGGAACATAAAAAGAAGATACTTCAATGCAAGTAAGACTTCTGATAGTAAATGTTTCATTTATCATGTTGGCCCTACTCTTGATAAAAAAGAAAGTAAGATGTAAGATTAAGGTAGTTTTAATGGAAAAAGACCAGTTTAAAAATATGTGTAAATTGTAAGTATATTTGTGTATATACATATATGTAAACTAACTTTCAAAATTTAACTTTAGTTTGGAATTCACAGTTATTTAAGAAGGTAGTTGTATCTAATTTATAATCTGAAACAGTATTGTCTGAAAAAAATCATTTACTTAATTACAATCCTTAAAATTCTATGTAATTTTTTTGCATAAATAAGAAAAAAGATTGTTAAGTTAGTATGTTGTATGTTTTCTCTATAGTCACATTATAACAAATTGAACTTGCTATAGTATTTGGTAAATAAATATAGTTGACCTATGAATAATGTGGGGGTTAGGGACTCTAATCTCTGTGCAGTTGAAAATCTGAATATAACCTTTAATTTCCCCATCTTAGCTACTAATAACCCACCATTGACTGGAAGCCTTCCTGATAACAAAAACAGTCTATTAAAACCTATTTTATTTGTGCTGCATTATTATATACTGTGTTCTTACAACAAAGTAAGCTAGAGAAATGAAGCTGTTGGAAAATCATCAGAAAAAAAATATATTGACTTTTCATAAAACATAAGTGGATTCTCACAAAGGTCTTCATCTGTCTATTGATTTCAGAGGCAGAAGAAAATCTGCATATAAGTAAACCCCTGCAGTTCAAACCCTTGTTGTTGAATGGTGAGCTGTATTATGTATTAATTTGTGTCACTAAGAAAGTAACTATGTTTAGAACTGGGAAATCAACAATCCCTTTCTTCTACCATAAGTAAATGGCAATAAGAACTGTAAAATTGAACTCATACAAATTGGAGATACCTACTGAGTGCAGAAGACAGAAAAACAATTTCTTTGTGAGAAGTACATGTTACATGTTCTTACATAAGCAAAATGGTTTTATCTGTCATACACACACACACACACACATGCACATGCACATATACACACGTGCTCTTGCCCGTGCATATGTACATACTAATAAGTTCAAAGTCCTGCTGATTCTTTATGACCAAATCCACTATTTGCAGGGAGCAGCAGATAACACATACTACACCTTGGATGCAGTTCTTTTAACTTTTTGACTTGTTCTGTGATTAATTGCCTTTAATGGATGAACCATGTTTCTAGTTTTATAAGAAATAAACAGATTAGAAGCAAGTAAAAGGAGCTCTATGATCAGTAGTAGACTGTTGTACTTTACTCAGTGGTCATATGTTTTTCTCCAGGTATACAAGTTACTTGAATGACAAGTTCTCCAGTTATACAAGTTACTTACTTACTTACTTAATTATTATTATTATTATAAGAAATGGGGTCTCTTTATGTTGCCCAGGCTAGAATACAGTGTCTATTCAGTGGTACAGTTACAGCTCACTGTAGCCTTGAACTTCTGGGCTTAATCAGTCCTCCTACCTCATTCTCCTGAGGAGCTGTGGCCATAGTCATGTGTGGTTACATCTAGCTGGATACACAATTATTGATTGATTGATTTGTTTATCTGTTTATTTTTGAGACAGTGTCTCCCTCTGTTGCCAGTACTTGAGTGTAGTGGTGCAGTCCTGGCTCCCTGCAACTTCTGCTTCCTGGTCTTAAATGATCCTTTCACCTCGGCCTCCCAAGTAGCTGGAACTGCAGGCATACACCACCATGCTTAGCTATTTTTCCTTTTAAGATATGTATGTATGTATGTATGTATGTGTGTATGTCTTTTCTTACATGAGGTCTCACTATATTGCCCAGGCTGGTCTGGAACTTCTGAGCTCAAGTAATCCTGCATCAGCCTCCCAAAATGCTGGGATTTTACAGGTTTGGAGCTACTGCACCTGGCCTGCACAATTGTTATAAAAAGAAATTAAGCCCCAGTTGAGTTGCAGAAAATTGACTACCTTGTCATTTTTTTGGTTTGTTTTTTAAGGAGCATTCATATTGTAGAACATACTGTCAATCATCAATCTTCTCTATTTTATTCTGGTTAAACTAGAATTGCTGCTTATTTCACATTATTTTCTGAAATAATTGTTTTATTTATTCCTTTTATGGCTTTATTCAATTAGATACAGATATACAAGAATCTCCAAGTCAAATATCAAGGAGAAAAAAGAAAATAAAAGAAAAAGATTAGGGAAAGTTATTCTGTGAAATAACCATCTGATGACAGTCACATATATCAACTTAATAAAAATCTTATATGATGCATTTGTGTCAAGGGTTTCCAAGACCACCCCCAGGTTTGGTGATTCACTAGAAGGTTTCACAGGACTCAGAAAATAATCATACTCAGATCTTTAGTTTATTACAATGAAAGGGTACAGGCAAAATTAGAGGCAAAAGGTGCATGTGGTCAAGTCTGGAGGAAACCAGGGCACAAGTTTCCAGGAGTTCTCTCCTGTGGAGTTCCCAGGATCTGCTTAATTCTCCCAGCCCCATATTTTGGCAACACTTGTGCAGTGATGTCTACCTGTACCAGAATCTCATTAGAGACTCAGTACCCAAGTTTTTTAAATGGACGTTATTCTCCCTCATATGTACCCAAATTCCAGACTCCCAGAAGCAAAGCACCTGTTCAGAGTAACCACTTTGTTTCTATAAACACTTTAGACACAGTGAGCCATTCTTCTCAGGGAACGGTGGAACCCTCTCAATTTCAATTTCCTAAACACCCGCCAAGGGGCCAGCCTTGTATGTGGGCCTTTCTAAGGATGTCAGTCTTTTTGCCTGCTATATGAAATCTTTTCTGCACAAATGTTTTAGCCCCAACTTAATTTTTGGTGTTGTTTTAAAATGTCATTTTAACAGCAAATAATATAAGGTAACTTGGTACTAGTTTCTCTTGTATGATCCATTCTTAGTTGCAGTGCTGGTTACTTTTTTGAGTTCTGGTGACTAACAGGTATTTCTAAGTTACCACAGCAGTGTTAGGTAATTACAATCTGTCCTCCTTATCTCTTTAGCCTTTCAGCAAAATTGTTAAAGAAGCCTAATAATTTCTGAGTTAAAATTAGAATAAAAATTGTCTTTTATTTTCACTACATGAATAATCTGTTTAGAATTATAAAATAAGATAAAATAATAATTTTATCGATATTTTCTTACCTTAGCATGCAATTAAATTTATTTGTTTTACATGTTTTTTATACTTCAATTTGAGAAATAATGCCTACATGCTATTACTTTGGTCTTTAATGATCTCCAATTTTGGAGGTCACCATGTCTTGCTTAAATATGTCATAATAACAGGTTCAGCTAATATATTTTATTTTTCAATTTAGTTTTTGTTCTGGAAATCCTGGGATGCATAGACAGTGAGTATCTTTTTTAGATCAATACCTTTATTTCTTAGAGCAGTTTTAGTTCACAGCAAAATTTAGAGGAAGGTACAGGGATTTCTCATTATTTCCCATGTCTCCCACACATGCATGGCTTTTCCCATTATTGGTATTTTCCACCAAAGTGGTACATTTGTTACAACTGATGAACCTACATTGACACATTATAATCATTCAAAGTTCATAGTTGACATCAGGTTTCATTCTTAATACTGTACGTTCTGTGAATTTGGACAAATGTAAAATGACATGCGTCTGTTATTTTAATATGATAGAACAGTTTCACTGACCTAAAAATTCTCAATACTGTGCCTGTTCATCTCCCTTTCTTCCTAGCAATTCCAGCCACTGATCTTTTCTGTCTTCGTAGTTTTACTTTTTTCAGAAGAGTCAGATAGTTGAAATAATACAGTGGATATATTTTTGACTAGTTAAAAAATTAAAGTTCTGTGGTAATGTCGGTTAAGATATACTTTGTCCTTTTGTTTTTCTTCTGATATTTTTAATCATAAGATCTGATGTTATGTGCTTTACATATTTAGAAAACATGATTTGTGTAGATATTTGCCACATAATGGAAACAGTTGAGGAAAATGACACCATGCATTAACACACAGCACAAACTGGAGCATCTTGGTTTATGGGGTGTGTTCAGATAGACACTCTGTTCCTTGGAAGGGAACAAGTTCAAGAGGTTGTACTTTATAAAACTGAAATCACAAAGTCTTCCATACGTACTTTCAGTTGGAAATAAGACCAGGCAGTGAATGCTATAGGTAAATACCCACGCGCCTCACTGATCCTTTTCCTTTGAGGGATTGTGGATAACCTCCCATATAGGTACCGTGGAAGAAAAGCTAAGCAGAATCCTGGCACAATTAAGACCTAGAGAATATCTCAGTTTATAGTGTTACTATTCAGTTATTTCCTTTTATGTAATCCTTTATATAATCATATATTAATCGATAGAATTAGGGCTTGGGGAATATCTCACTTATAGTGTTACAACTCAGTTATTTCCCTTTATACAATCCTCTGTATATAATATATACTATTAGTTCATAGAATGAGTGCATAAAGAACATCTTACCACTCAGTTGTTTCCATATATATATATATATATATATATATGGAAGCATATATACATATATATATGAAGTGCCTATATCTTAGTTTATAATTGGAGGAATGCCTAGAGTAGACACAGTACAGAGCATGAATTAAGGAATAAGCAGCTTATAATCGAAAGAATGTCTAGAGCAGACACAGTGCAGAGCATGATTTAAGGGAAAAACAATTACACCAGGACAGGAATCCATGGCCCAGGGGGCAGCATTCAGTATCATAAAGATACCCACTGTATGGCAGGCCTGGGGCAAGAGCCACTCTTCCTGATACAGGAGTTGTAGGACCTTGCTTCAGTTCTTGTGGAAGGCTGCCCTCAGACCGACAGCTGCACCTTGGTGACTGTGGACTTTATCAGCTCTTGATACTGTGCTGCTCAAAAACCATTCCCCTATAGAACTCATTGTAAGCTGCCAGCAGGTAGCGTAGACACTGACAGCTCTGTCACTGCTATGACTTAAAGCATCCTCCTATAAATGTTCTTAGTAGCTTGCCTATAGTTAGAGGTATTGCACACTGCACCCTCTTCAGTGCGCACGGCCCACCTCCATGCCTCAGTGACATAATGGGGGTGGACCCCTTACTGCACATGGCCCTTGCCTCGATGACCTAGTGGGAATGGACCCCTTGCTGTGCACTGTCCATCTCCCAGTCTAGGTGACCTAATCGGGGTGGACCCCTTGTCTATTGCTCATGACCCTATCACTATCCTTAAAGATGACTTCACTCCTTGCCCTGCCCCCTAACCTATACACAATAAATGCTCACGCTTCTGGACATTCAGGGCCTCACATGACTCCACTCATAGGTGGTGTGGCTCCCTGAGCCTAACTGCATTTTCCTTGTACTTCTGTGTCCTGTCTCTATTTCTCAGATCCTGTGCCTCAGCACAGCATAAGGGACACCCCACGACCCTGTGGGCCATCAGCCCTACAGGGATGAGTTTGAAAACAATCTGTATTATGATGACATGACTCACCTATGACTAAATTCTTTGTCATGAGGGATGGCGAAGAAATCACACAATTTTGCTTTATATGAGGTTAAAAAATAATTTTTTTTCTCTTGGGAGAGGGGAAAGCATTGGCACATTCTGGTAGCAAAGGGGCATTGATATTTTCTTTCTATATATTTTCCACATCAGATAGTACTGCCTGGCAGCCTGCCACACCTCCCCAGTGTTTCTTAAGCTTCTCTCTGAATGTGCGGTGTGATTCGGAGTAGATAAGCTCTTAAAGGAGTGATCTTTCCAGTGGTTCTTTCTGTGGGAGGTAAAATGGCAGGTGAATTTGGACCTTGTTATACATAGAGCTGAGCATATAGCTACAACTAAGTAAACCACCCAGCACCTTCCCCAGAAGAGTATTAGCCAGCTTAACACGTTGATCTCTCTTGAGCTCTTCTCCACTGGCAGTTGGAAAGTTTTTGCAAGGATCCTTGTTTCTGGTCTAATTCCTATGTTTTGCTTGCTTCTGGTGATAAGTCATTTTATCCTAACCTGAACAGTTTTAACTGCAGAGCTAGGGAGGCTGTGTTATGTTCAACAAAATAAGTCAAGTAGTTCCCCCTTAAATGTAGGAGATACATTCACGACTCCCAGTAAATGCCTGAAACCATAAATAGTACTGAATCACATACTGTTTTTTCTACACATATATATCTATGATAGCATTTACTTTATAAATTAGGCACAGTAAGAAATTAACAACAGTTACTCATAATAAAATATATTGTTGTGGTTCTCACCATTTTTCCTGTGATGATGTGAAGTGATACAATGCCTGTGTAATGAGAAGCAGTGAGGTGAATGAGATAGGCATTGTAATGCAGTGTTAGGCCACTATGCAACCCCTGAATCTAAGTCAGAAAAAAGATTATGAGCTGTGAGTGACCCTGGATCTCCAGGCCTTAATGATGTTGATGGCCAGCAAGAGAAGGAGACCGTGTTGATGACTAATGGGTGAACAGCATAAGCAGTGTGGATGTACCAAACATAGAGATAATTCACATCCTGGTCTGGATGGAGAGGCTCAATGTTTCATTGCACTTCTCAGAATGGCATACTAAAACTTATGACGTGTTTATTTCTGAAGTTTTCCATGTGATATTTTTGGAATACAGTTGACTATTAGCTGTAACCACAGAAATCAAAACTGCAGATGTAAAATCTGTGTTTGGACGGTGACTCATTTCTTGGTGTACAATTCTTTAAATCGTTAGAAATTCCAAACTGATGTCTTTTTGTATGCTAATTATTGATGGCTGGAAACCCCTACATAGATTCAGGATGGCAACTGGTCATTACCATGAAGACAGTTTAGAGGTTGAGATCTCCTGTCTCACTCTGCAGACTCTGGGGCAAAGAGAAAGCCTGAATGTTTTCAGTCACCAATGACCAGTGATTTACTTAATCGGTGCATATGTATTGAAGCTTTCATAAAGACCCAGAGGGACTGGGCTTAGAAAGCTTCCAGTTTGCTGAATACATTGAGGTTCCTGAAGGATGATGTGTCCTGGGAGGGCATGTAATCTTTGTCCCACTTCCCCTACACTTTGCACTATGCATCTCATCTGTACCTTTTGTAATGTTATTCATAGCAAACTGGTAAATGTTTCCCTGAGTACTTTGAGCCATTCCAGCTATTCAATTTAACCCAAAGAAGGAGTCCTGGGAACCTCAATTGAACCCCAAATTGAAGCTGGTTGGTCAGAAGTTCTGGAGTTTCAGACTTAGGGCTGATGTAGGGGGGCAGTCTCATGGGACTGAGCCCTTTACCTGTGGAATCTGATGCTATCTGCAGATAGAGTATGAGAAGTGAATTAGAGGACACCCAGCTTGTGTTGTCTGCAGGAATGATTGCTTGTTTGTTGGTAGGGAAAACCTCTCTTACACGTTTGGTCATGGAAGCCTTCATTGTTGATGATTGTTTCTGTGATGTGAGAGCAGAGAAAAACATGGCAAGTCTGTCTTATCCACACATGTTGTGGATAAGGGAATTACTGTATACTCTGTTTTAACTGTCCTTCATATTTTGGTTCAGAAATCATGCTGTTTGACACTGGTAAGTCATCACACCTGATAACAATACCATTTTTAGTCTCATATGGTTTGTCTTAGATGACTTGTATACTGCAGTTCACTTGTAGATAACCAAATTTTGATAAATGCATTCTTTGCATTTAATAAATACAAAGTAAGGACAGTAAGAGTTCTTACTGCACTAATCACATACCAGTAGGTATAATTTATATTAATTCTAATAAGATCTCAGGTATGCTCCCAAAGGAATGCTTTGGAACAAAGCATGAGTCCTATACTTTAAAGAACAATGGTCTAAAACATGCACACAAGGGTGCATAATTGTTTTTATGAAGGTAGCGTCTTGCTATGTTTCCCAAACTGGTCTCAAAGTTCTGGGTTTCTCAAGTGATCCTCCTGCCTCAGTCTCCCAAGTAGTTGAGATTGCAGGCATGCATGACTGTGCCTTCTTATGTTTTTAATATTCTATGTATTTATTATAGATTTACAGTGCATTTCACCTTTTCCTTTAATAGATTCTGGGAGTTCTGATGCATCTGCAGTCGAGTAGGATTTTACAGATTTTAAAAATTATATTGACTAAGGAAATACAGATGGAAGAAACTAATATCTGTTGAGTGTTGTATTCTGGGCTAACCACGTTATTATGTGCTATGCATTTATCTCATAAATCCATCACAACATCTGTGTTCTTATAACCTACTGTTTATTAAATAGGCAACTGTGGTTTAGAGAGGTTGATTAATTGTCTAATGATCCCATAGTTAACAAAGTAGCTGACTCACAGTTAAACCATCAGCCTGCCTGGCTTCCAGATCTTTCTTTTGTTCCTCAGCATAGATGGATAAAGATCTGTGCAGCAATTGGATCAAAATATATGTTAGAATCAGATTAATGAATACAGTCAAATCTAGTTGTATGTTAACTCTCATTTAAGGTTATTGTTAGAAATGAGGTTGGTCTAAGAGATTGTCCTAATAAATTTGACAGTTTCAGTGGTAACCAGTATCTTATCTTTACCATCAAAGGCTTTAGGGCATTGTAAAGGTTTGGCCATAGAATTGTAAATCTTACAAAAGCAAGATTAGACAAGTCTTAGAGAGAAATTATTTGACTTCCTAGTTTGGAAGTTTGGTTTTCCAAAGTTTGGTTTTCCTAGTTTGGTTTTCCCTTTAGGCTAGTATTTCTGCCTACTTCCACAATACTTTTCAGTCTTTATTTCTTTTTCCATGACATTTCCAACACCTTCTCTTGATGTTTTAAAGTGATCTTTTCTGCTTTTGGTGTTTCTTTTGTTCTATTATTTTTTCAAATCCTGCTGGCTATGTATCCCCAATTTTCCTATAGACAATCAAAAGCATGAAGAATTTCAGAATTTTAAGGAATCAAAGGACTAATTAAAATAACCTCTAGTACTTCAACCTGTGTTAAACATTCTGGTCAAGTGTTTCTCTAGATAGAGAACCTGAGACTCGAATAGATTAGGATAGTTTTCTTTTTGGACATAGGAAGTGGCAGAAATTAGATTTAAACTTGTTTTAAAGCCCAGTACTCACCCTTTTTTTAAAAATTCTATGCGCCGGGCGCGGTGGCTCACGCTTCTAATCCCAGCACTTTGGGAGGCCAGGCGGGTGGATCACGAGGTCAAGAGATCGAGACCATCCTGGTCAACATGGTGAAACCCCGTCTCTACTAAAAATATGAAACATTAGCTGGGCATGGTGGCACGTGCCTGTAATCCCAGCTACTAAGGAGGCTGGGGCAGGAGAATTGCCTGAACCCTGGAGGCGGAGGTTGCGGTGAGCCGAGATCGCGCCATTGCACTCCAGCCTGGGTAACAAGAGTGAAACTCCGTCTCAAAAAATAAATAAATAAATAAATAAATAAAATAAACAAACAAATAAATAAAAAGATGTTTCCTCCGCTGGGCGCGGTGGCTCAAGCCTGTAATCCCAGCACTTTGGGAGGCCGAGGTGGGTGGATCACGAGGTCAAGAGATCGAGACCATCCTGGTCAACATGGTGAAACCCTGTCTCTACTAGAAATACAAAAAATTAGCTGGGCATGGTGGTGCATGCCTGTAATCCCAGCTACTCAGGAGGCTGAGGCAGGAGAATTGCCTGAACCTAGGAGGTGGAGGTTGTGGTGGGCCGAGATCGCGCCATTGCACTCCAGCCTGGGTAACATGAGCGAAACTCCGTCTCCAAAAAAAAAAAAAAAAATTTTTTATGGGCGTTTTGTTGTTGTTGTTGACAGAGTCTTGCTCTTTTGCCCAGGCTTGAGTGCAGTGGCACAGTCTTGGCTCACTGCAACCTCTACTACCTGGGTTCTAGTGATTCTCCTGCCTCAGCCTCCAAAATAGCTGGGATTACAGTCGTGCCATGGTGGCCAACACCTGTAATCCCAGCACTTTGAGAGGCTGAGGCAGGCAGATTATGGGGTCAAGAGATCCAGACCATCCTGGCCAAAAGGTGAAAATTAGTCTACTAAAAATAAAAAACAAATTAGTTGGGCGTGGTGGTGGGCGCCTGTAGTCCCAGCCTCTTGGGAGGCTGAGACTGGATAATTGCTGTACACACGAGGCGGAGGTTGCAGTGATCCAAGATCGTGCCATTGCCCTCTAGCCTGGTGACAGAGCAAGACTGTGTCTCAGATGACGATGATGGTGATGATGATGACGACGATACAAAGGGGAGTGAGTCTGGTGCACCCAGTAAATAAAACGAGAATGAAATTAACTGGTAAACCCAATGGAAATGGCCAAGAATGGAATGAGCAGGGGAAGGCCAGGTTTGAAGAGAAACAACACTGGATTGGATAGGAATATGGATTCTTCAGTAAGAGATCAGAATATTGGAGTTTATGACAAGTTTAATAAAGATAAATTACAAAGAAGAAGAATACAAGATGTTGGAATTTACAAAGGCACAAAAAATAGAGGGTTCAAGGGAGACTTAAACAGGTTGCTGCTTTTTTTTTTTTATCAATAACTGACAAACTTGAAGATTTTTACTGAAAGATGCTAAAGCATTTTGAGACATGGGGAAGAGTTTCTACAGCAGATAGAAATGTGGTATCATGTGCTTCCATTCTGACTTACAGAGGGGTGGCTTAGAACTTCTTGGGTACTAGGGGCTGGAGATTGTTGAACTGCATAGATCTGTAGCCCAGGGCAGGTGCCTCCTCACCTCTGCTGCTCTTCATAATTCACTGATGGCCTGCCAATGTTCATGTAGGCTGGGTCAGGGGCATGACTGACTGGCCAATCAGTCATGAAGTTCAGTTGGTTAACTGGAGGTGTGTCTATGCTGGGGCAGTTGATGGAGACTCCAGTTAGCTTGTTATTCAGGAGCAGGGATGTAGAGAGCTGCTCCTGCTCATCTGAGGTCATCCTTTCAGGAATCTGTGCTTTCATAGATTGAAGATTTGAAGATTGGAGACTGCCGTGGAGCCCTGCACAAGTAGAATCTGGACGCCCATAGGAATAAAGATATTTAGATAGTACTTAGGGAAATAGAGGTACAACTACCAGTACTGTTTTTCCAGCACCCTCTCTCCTTGGATATCTGAGTGCCTATAAAGCCTTTTTTTTGAGAGTGAGTCTCGCTCTGTCACCCAGGCTGGAGTGCAGTGGCATGATCTCAGCTCACCACAACCTCCGCCCCCAGGGTTCAAGCAATTCTCCTGCCTTAGACTCCCTAGTAACTGAAATTACAGGTGTTTGCCACCATGCTTTGCTAATGTTTGCATTTTTAGTGGAGACAGGGTTTGACTATGTTGGCCAGAATGGTCTCAATCTCTTGATCTTGTGATACGCCCACCTTAGCCTCCCAAAGTGCTGGGATTACAGGTGTGAGCCACCACGGTTGCCTGCCAATATATATTTTTAAAATGTATTCTTATTTTTGGTGGAGATTGCAAAGTAGAGTTAGGTACTTTGAAGCTAGTTCCTGACTGAAATATGCACATGCTAATATTTTCTCTGTGACTATGTTTTCTTTGGGCTGCCATGCTTGGATAAGCAAGCCAATGGACATATGAAGATAACAGATGAACCTGATCTAGACAGTGTAGATGACATTCTCTACTGGAATGCTTTGGTTTTCAGTACATGTTTCTCTTATTTTTAAAGCCAAATTAGTTTTAAAATACTAAATTGAAATTTTGGGGAGACAGAGTCTTCCTCTGTTGCCTAGGCTGGAGTACAGTGGCATGATCTTGGCTCGCTACAGTCTCCACCTTCCAGGCTCAAGTAATCCTCCCACATCAGCCTCCCAAATAGCTGGGACTACAGGCACATACCACAAAGCCTAACTCATTTTGTTTTTTGTTTTTTATTTTTTTGTAGAAATAGGTTCTCATGATGTTGCCCAAGCTCGTCTTGAACTCCAAACTCAAGCAATCCCCCTACGTTGCTTTTGCAAAGGGCTGGGATTCTAAGAGTGAGCCACAAGCTTGGGTAAACTGAGATTTATTTAAGTCAATTGATTAGTGCTGGGTGTGGTGGTGCACATTGGTTATCTCAACACTTTGGGAGGCAGAAGCGAAAGGATTACTTAAGACCAGGAGTTTGGGCCGGGCGCGGTGGCTCATGCCTGTAATCACAGCATTTTGGGAGGCCGAGGTGGGTGGATCATGAGGTCAAGAGATCGAGACCATCCTGGCCAACATGGTGAAACCCTGCCTCTACTAAAATACAGAAAAAAATCAGCTGGGTGTGGTGGCGTACGCCTGTAGTCCCAGTTAGGAGGCTAAGGCTGGAGAATGGCTTGAACCTAGGAGGCAGAGGTTGCAGTTAGCTGAGATCATGCCACTGCATTCCAGCCTGGTGACAGAGTGAGACTCTGTCCCCTGCCCCCAAAAAAGAAAAAAAGACAAATAACAAAAAAACACCACCAGGAGTTTGAGACCAGCCTGGGCAATATAGTGAGACCTTGTCTCTACAAAAATAATAAAGTAGCCTAGCATTATGATAGACAGCTGAAGTTCCAGCTGCTCAGGAAGTTGAGGTGGGAAGATTGCCTGGGGTCGGGAAGTTGAGATTGCAGTGAGCCATAATCATGCCACTGCATTCCAGCCCTTGGTGACAGAGTGAGGCCCTGTTTCAAAAAAAGAAAGAAAATTGATTAAAAAAAAAAAAGTCTTCATGCAACTCATTATAATTTTTTAAACAGAAACTCATGCTTTATATTGCCTCAACAGTGTGTCCCCAAGAAAGTGTCAGAACATTTACCGAGACCTTCCAATGGAAAAAACAAAACAAAACAGTATAGTCAATGTAAAAGGAGAAGGTAAGAATACTATTTTATTTAAAAAGTCATTTGATGAAATGTTTCTTTAAAAAAATATATGAGCACTAATATGTTGAAATAGCTAAAGAAAGTGTTATATTAAATGTATAATAAGTAAAAGAGAAGCAAAATGGTAATAAGTTGTATATCTAATCAGGGGTCAGCAGTTGAGTCTATTAGAGTACCACTAAAGGAGCTGAATTATTAGTTCCCATTTTAAGATACTCCAAGATCTGCGGCAAGTCAGGAAAGAGGGAAGAGGAACGAGAAAGAATGAGGAGGGCAGAGTGTACATGGAATAAATGAAGAAATAGTATGCGGGTGTATGTAAAGGAGGGCAGTAAAGTCAGATTGGTATGTAGAAGAGGGAAGAGCAGGGTGATAGAAATAGGAAAGAAGGTAATGTCAGCTTCCAGCGCCAAAATGTGTCAGAGAATTAGAGTAACATCTTCCTGCTCTTGCTGTCATTCTCACTATTAGAGAGGCATTAAGGATTGAGGCACCTCACCACACAGACCTGTTTTTTCTACCACAGATGAATATCACCATAAATGGTCAGCCATGTATGGCAATACTTTAGTTTTATACAAAATGTTATAACTTCATCGGATAGTATCATATAGGCCAGATTAACATAATTGAATAGTGTCATGTGATTTATGGAGAGGAAGTTAGAGGTATGGCCTGATTAAAAGTTTATTGGAAACATTATGGCTTATAATGCAGAATTAAATTCAGGGACTTAATAGGGAAGAAATTGAGGCTAAGTTCCAGATGGGTAATTAAGGTAAATGTGGAAGCACATTAGTATAGAATAGGGCATCCAAATTTTCATGAATTAGTTGAAGAGCTTCTGGAAAATGGACATTGTCATTAAGCACGTGTGGAATTCTGCCTCAGGAGTACTCAGGTGGTGTTGGTGCTGTTCCTTGGACACAGCACTGAATAACAAAGAAATAGCCTTCCTTTACAGAAATCTGAAAAAGAACCATTGGATAGCAATTTAAAACCATAACAGAATCAAGGGAAGGCATTAATCTTTTATTTCTGATGTAGGATTCTAGCCACAGAGGAAGCAGAATGAGATGAAAACAGAAATTATTGGTGTATACTACTGCTGAATACAGATGAAAAAAGTGGTGGCAATTATCCATAAAAAGCAATTAGGAAGAGAAGCATCAGGATGACAGATCTAAAGATTACTTTGCAAAGGAAGAGGGATTGTGAAAGGGCAAGGAGGGGGGAAGAAAAAAAGTGTGTTGGGAGACTTTGGAGTTAAAACCAAGGAAGCTTGAGACACCTCACTTCCAGTTCCTTGGGCATATGTCCAGTCTAGCAAAAGCGGTTATTGCTGTGGACAGTACTGGAGGCAGGAGGGAGTGCTAGAATTGGGGTAAACCACAGCAGGTCACTTCTGTTCATAACTGTCAGGCCTCAGAGCAAGAAGTTTCATTGACATGAGTGAATACGATATAATTAAGTTGCATTTTGGCTAATTTTTTTTTGGGGGGGGGTGGGTCAGCCAGTTCTTTGATATGATAGCTGTTTTATAAAAGTCATTTACAGAGTAAGATGACATGCCAAACTTAGCTAATTTTAGAAGCAGCCATACTGTAAAACTTATTCTGTGAATACCAAAATTGTCATTTTCTAAGAATACTGCACTGATTATGAAATATAAAAGTTTTTTCTTTCCTATCAAGACTGTTGCAATTCAGTGTTTACTCTTGATATGAACTACATAGATCTGTGGCCCAGGGCAGGTGTCTCATCTCTGCCTCTTTTCCCAGTTCACTGATGTCCTTCCAATATCCATGTAGGCTGGGTCAGGGGCATCATTGGCTGTCAAATCAGTCATGAAGTTCAGCTGGGGAGTTGGAGGTGTGTCTGTGCTGGTAGATGGTAGAGACTCCAGTTAGGTTGTTATCAGGAGCAGGGACATAGAGCGCTCCCACTCCTGGTCATTTGAGGGCATCCTTTCAGTGCTTTCAAAGACTGAAGATTTGAAGATTGGAAACTGCCATGGAGCCCTGCATAAGTGGAATCTGGAAGTGGGAACCCATAGGAAGAAAGATATTTAGATAGTACTCAGGGAAACGGAGGTACAACTGCCAGGATTCTGTTTTTCCAGCAGTCTCTCTCCATGGATATCTGAGTGCCTATGAAGGTTTTTAAGGGCTTACTAGTTTATGTGGACCTGAATAAGGTAGGACCTATAGGGTGAAAATAATTGGATTTTTATTATTGTTAATGTTTTAATCTTCCTGGGAAGAGTATCCTCAGTAAGAAAATACACCTTATTAGACTTTTGTATATTTAGCTCTCACACATTTCAAATATAGCAGGGGATTCTCTGTACTCTTTTGGGACAAAGGAAATCATTGGGACCTTCTTAAGTGGTTTTCATGCTGCGGAAACAAGACTGCCATTTTGAAGTGACACAGATTAGTCTTTTAACCAGAAATAGACAATGGACAAGAGACAGAGGATCTTCCTATCTTGTTTTAGGTCATAACGTTCCTTCCAGTTTAGGTGACAAAAGTTATGTCATCCATTAATTGGGTTTCATGTTCTGCTTCAGGACAGATAATTTGTGAAGGTAAATTATTGTCAAGCTCTGCCAATATATTGGCTGTCACTATTTGTTGTGGAGCTCAAGGTCAGTTTTGATTGAATATTTTATAGATTTAGACAGCTGGAGGCAGAAATAGGTAACCAAAATCTGTTTTTAGAACAGACACCATATTTTAATTATCAAGAAATGGTATTTAATATACAGATGGCTGACCTTGTCCCAGATTTTGTTTTTGTTTTTTGGAGGGGGAAGCTGAACATGAACTGGCAGTTAAAAATTTTGTAAGAAAAAAATCAGCTTCCTCATTTTTATTTTTGCTCTAGAACATTTTTCACGAACTGTGTGTGGATTCATGCCCTAAACCAGATGATGAAGACTTGACTTACTACCAAGGTAAAGTGGTCTCTTGTAAAATTTTCTCTGTCAACTTTCGCATAGGATTTACTTTTAAAATTTAGCAGTGGCTTAACTATTATTGTTTTATGATGGTTATGGAAAGTTGGTCAGAGAACACCATAGACATATGGCTAGTTGATTGGAAAAATTTATTTAACATTGGTAACTAACAAAAGATTGGTAAGTACTGTAGCAGAGTTGAGGCTGAAGAAAAATGAACTGAAACATACATAGCAACAGAAAAATCACATTAGGAAATGCTTTCTGCAATAGAGAAAATATGAAATTTGGTTAAGGTTTAATTAGATAAATATTAATACTTTGACTTTCAAATCATACTAGTGCAACATCTGTATTTTTGCCAGTATAAATCTTCAGTGGATAAAATTACTTGTGGTAATCATGGATCTCCATGGCACCTTTTAGTTGAAAACTGTACAACAAATAGCACACAGCTGTTTTTCTTGGACATTTATTATTTGGGTATTATAAACTTGGTAGGAGAGACTGTTCCTCTGCTTATATTATTGGTTCTGTAGTGAGACTAAAATATTAAAAATTGTAGAAAAAATAGCTGGGTGTGGTGATATACACCTATAGTTCCAGCTATTTGGGAGTTTGAGGGTGCATGAGACCAGGAGTTTGAGAACTACCTGGGCAGCATAACAAAGCTGCGTCTGATTTATTATTAAAAATTATACCAAGTTCTGGGGTACATATGCAGAGCGTGCAGGTCTGTTACATAGGTATACGTGTGCTATGGTGGTTTGCTGCATCCATCCCGTCATCTGCATTAGGTATTTCTCCTAATGTTATCCCTCCCCAATCCCTCCACCCCCTGCTTTCCCTCCCTTATCCCCCACTCCTCCTGACAGGCCGTGGTGTGTGATGTTCTCTTCCCTGTGTTCTTATTGTTCAACACCCACTTATGAGTGAGTGAGAACAGGCAGTGTTTGGTTTTCTGTTCTCATGTCAGTTTTCTGAGAATGATCGTTTCCAGTGTCATCCATGTCCCTGCAAAGGACATGAATTCATCCTTTCTTATGGCTGCACAGTATTCCATGCTGTATATGTGCCACATATTCTTTATCCAGTCTATCATTGATGGGCATTAGGTTGGTTCCAAGTCTTTGCTATCGTACAGTGCTGCAATAATCATATGTGTGCATGTGTCTTTATAACAGAATGATTTATAATCCTTTGGGTATATACTCAGTAATGGGATAGCTGGGTCAAATGGTATTTCTAGTTCTGTACCTTGAGGAATTGCCACACTGTGTTCCACAGTGGCTGAACTAATTTACACTGCTGCCAACAGTGTAAATGCGTTCCTGTTTCTCCACATCCTCTCCAGCATCTGTTGTCTCCTGATTTTTTAATGATCACCATTCTAACTAGCATGAGGTGGTATCTCAGTGTGATTTTGATTTGCATTTCTCTATTGACCAGTGATGATGAGCTTTTTTTAATGTTTGTTGGCTGCATAAATGTCTTCTTTTGAGAAGTGTCTGTTCATATACTTTGCCCACTTTTTGATAGGGTTTTTTTCTTGTAAATTTGTTTAATTTCTTTCTAGATTCTGGGTATTAGCCATTTGTCAGATGGGTAGATTGCAAATTTTTTTTCCCATTCTGTTGATTGCTGGTTCACTGTAATCATTGTTTCTTTTGCTGTGCAGAAGCTGTTACGTTTAATTAGATCCCACTTGTTTATTTTGGCTTTTGTTACCATTGCTTTCGGTGCTTTAGTCATGACGTTCTTGCCTATGCCTATGTCCTGAATGGTTTTGCCTAGGTTTTCTTTTAGGGTTTTTATGGTGTTAGGTCTTACGTTTAAATCTTTAATCCATCTGGAGTTTATTTGTGTATAAGGTGTAAGGAGGGATGTAGTTTCAGCTTTCTGCAGATGGCTAGCCAGTTTTCCTGACACCATTTACTAAATAGGGAATCCTTTCCCCATTGCTTGTTTTTGTCATGTTTGTCAAAGATCAGATAGTTGTGGATGTGTGGCATTGCTTCTGAGGCCTCTCTTTTATTCCATTGGTCTATATCTCTGTTTTGCTATCAGTACCATGCTGTTTTGATTACTGTGGCCTTGTAGTATAGTTTGAGGTCAGGAAGCATGATGCCTCTAGCTTTTTTTGTTGTTGTTTGCGAATGAAAGGAGCCACACAGCTGAGGATGTCTGAATGTGGATAGACATTTGCACATCTTACAAGGTTATTACAGCTCATTCTGTTGGATCATAAAGGAAAAATGGCTTTTTGGATGGCTGTATGCAAAAGATTTAGGGAAAAAAAGATGATTTAGGAGGAAAATATAAAGAGGGCTCTAATTCACTATTTTTTATCATTCTTTTATTTTTTTTTTAGATGGAGTTTCACTTTGTCATGGAGGTTGTAGTGCAGTACTGTGTTCTTACCACACTGCAACCTTTGCTCCTGAGTTTGAGCAATTCTCCTGCCTCAGCCTCCCAAGTCTCGGACTACAGGTACACACCACCACACCTGGCTAAGTTTTTGTATTTTAGTAGAGATGGGGTTTCACCGTGTTGCCCAGGCTGGTCTCAAACTTCTGAGCTCAGTCTGTCCCCCTTGATCTCCGAAAATGCTGGGATTACAGGCATGAGCCACCATGCTCAGCCACATTCCTTTATTTGGTGACAGGGTCTCAGTGTGTCACCCAGGATGGAGTACAGTGGCATGATCATGGCTCCCTGCAGCCTCCAGCTCCTGGCCTAAAGTGATCCTTCCACCTCAGACTCCTGAGTAGCTGGGACTTCAGGTGAGAGCTATTATGATTGGCTAATTAATTTTTTTTTTTTTTTGTAGAGACATAGTCTCCCTACATTGCCCAAGCTGATCTTCAGCTGCTGGACTCAAGCAATCCTCCCACCTTGGCCTTACAAAGTGTTGGGATTATAGCCATGAGCCACCATGCCCCGCCAACTTTTTAAAATTTTACATTAAAAAAAACTAATATGGCCCAGGACCAGTAGCTCATGCCTATAATCCTAGCACTTCAGGAAGCCAAGGTGGGAGGACTTGGTGAGCTCAGGAGTTCAAAACCAGCCTGGGCAACACTGGGTGACTATCTCCACAAAAAGTAAAAATAAAAAACATTACCCAGTTATCATGGCTCACACCTGTAGTTGCAGCTACTCAGGAGGCTGAGGTGGGAGGAATGCTTGAGGCTGTAGGGAGCCATTATCGTGTTATTGCACTCCAGCCTGGGCAACAGAGCCAGACCCCCCCAAAAAAAACAGGTTGCAGGTTGCGGGGAGGGAAGGCTGACATGACAAAGCATTAGCAATCGTGAAATCTGGGTGATAAGCTTCTGAGTTTTATTATATTAGTCTTTCTATGTGACTGTAGCCAGGATGGAGTACAGTGGTGCAATCTTGGCTTACTGTAATTGCCGCCTCTTGGTTTCAAGTAATTCTCCTGCCTCACCCTCCCAAGTAGCTGGGATTACAGGTACCTACCACCATACCTGGCCAATTTTTGTATTTTTAGTGGAGACAGGGTTTCACCACATGGGCCAAGCTGGTCTCAAACTCCTGACCTCTGGTAGGTAATCCACCCACCTTAGCCTCCCAAAGTGCTAACATTACAGGTGTGAGCCACCACACTCGGCCAACTGAACAGTTTTATAATAAAAAGTTAAACACTTTCATTTTTGTTTTAAAATAATTTCAAACTTATAGAAAAGTTACTCAAAGCATACTAAGTATTCACTCAACTCACAACTATTAATTTATAGTAACATTCTGTCTCTGTCCATTCACACATACACACACACGCATGCAAACACATCATCTTTTTCTAAACCATTCAGACAGTTAAAGGCCTAGCACAGTGGCTCAGACCTGTATTCCCAGCACCTTGGGATGTGTAGGTGGGTGGATCACCTGAGGTCAGAAGTTTGAGACCAGCCTGGTCAGCATGGTGAAACCCATCTCTACTAAAAATACAAAAATTAGCCAGGCATGGTAGTGCATGCCTATAATCCCAGCTACTCAGGAGGCTGAGACAGGAAAACTGCTTAGAGACAGGAGAACTGCTTAAACCCAGGAGGCAGAGGATGCAGATAACGCCACTGCACTCCAGCCTGGACAACAGAACAAGACTCTGTCTCGATAAAAAAAAAAGGTAAGATGTGCACTCTACATACCTTTACCCTCAAAAAACTGGGGGTTTTCCCTTACAATGCAGAATATGCTCTTAGGTAACTGGAGCACAATTTTTTAAAACAAGAATGAATGTTATTAGTATGCATCTGGTGTCCTACAGTCATATACAAATTACATCAACTGTCCCAGTGACGCTCTTTAGTAGTCATTTGAAGAAATTTTTTAAAACATCTAATCTTTTAAAAAGATGTTTGTGAAAAGTTCATAAAAAGAAGAATGAGACTGGGCATGGTGGCTCATTCCTATGATTCCAGCACTCTGGGAGGCCGAGGCGGAAGAATCACTTGAGCTCAGGAGTTAGAGACCAGCCTGAGCAACATGGTCAAACCCCATCTCTGCAAAAAATACAAAAATCTTTTGGGCATGATGAAGCATGCCTACAGTCCCACCTACTCAGGAGGCTGAGGCAGGAGCCCTGGTAGATCAAGACTGCAGTGAGCTACGATTGTGCCACTGCACTCCAGCCTCAGTGATAGAGAGAAAGCCTGTCTCCAACAAACCAAAAAGATGGTGCATATTAGGGTAAAAGAAAGATTCTTCAAATAATCCCCAAGATGTTGACAATGCGCAGAAAAAGATGTACAAAAAGAAAACCACAAGGTGGCTGAGCATGGTGGCTCACACCTGTGATCACAGCACTTTGGGAGGCTGATGTGGGTGGATCACCTAAGGTCAGGAGTTCAAGACAGGCCTGGCCAACATGGCGAAACCCCGTATCTACTACAAATAGCTTGATGGTACAGGCCTGTAATCCTAGCTACCAGGGAAACTGAAGCAGGAGAACCGCTTGAACCCAGGAGGCAGAGGTTGTAGTGAGCTGCAATTGTGCCACTGCACTCCAGCCTGGGAGACAGAGTGAGACTCCATCTCAAAAAGAAGAGAAGACCAGAAGGAGGCGTACTAACATGGTGACAGTGGTTGCCTCTGGGGTTTCCTTACTACTGATCTGCACATATTTTTTTTTAACCCATGTTTCCTATGGTGAGACAGTATTATTTTTTAAGGAGTGGGTGATGGGAGGGGAACAATGTCAATAATAGTTAATATTTTAAAAACCCAAATCTGTCAGGTTCAACATGTCTAGGCAAGAAAAATAAACAAATAAATACCCAAATCTGAAGCTAAAGCAAGAGCAGTCCAGTGTATGGCTTACCCAGCCAAGCCTTCTGCAGAGACTGAAGCTGCTCATGGCTCTTGTGTTTATCACATTCAAGGTGGTAAACTTGCAGGACAGAGTTGGTGTCTCTGAGACCACATGGCCGGCACAGGCAGATTCAAGACAACTCTGCAGAAGAGCAAAAAAGAGAGAACTCAAAAGGGGAGCTCAGCATGTTCGTTCGTTCGTTCATTCATTCATTCATTCATTCCTCACCACCTCCCTGAGGTCTCGGGTGCCCGACCTTACCCTGTGATCCACCAGAAGGGGATCCTGGACAGGAAGGAGGCGCTGGATTCTGGGCAGGGATTCTAGTGGAAAGAACGAACAGGTTAGGGAGGAAGAGGGAAAGGAACGATTCAACTTTTCATCCAGGTCAGAGCTTGGCAAGGAGTAGTCAGCTGCCCATTCTTCCTTCAAGAGGACCAGTGTCTGTGCCATACCATTCTGAACCCCAAAAGGATTCTCTCAGCCCCAAGAGAAAGAAGCTCATAGCAGCTCCTCTTGTTTCACTCCACAGTGTCCACCAGGCGCAACCACAATACAACAAGCTATCGACCTGCCTTATCCTCTATCCTGCAGCAACTCTAGGAGCTGGTGTTACCATCATCCTCACTTTCATTCATTTGACGAATATTTTCTGAGCACCTACTATGTGATAGGTCCTCTACAAGGTACTACAGGGTTACCTTGGATCCCCACAACAACCTCATAGGCTGGTATTACTATTGTCCCCATTTTCCTCATTTGGGCATTGAACATTTATTGACCTCCTACTATGAGCTAGACATGCTACCAAGAACTTATATACTTGCATTATTTTATATCCTCAAGGAATTCTATAAACATGGTATTACTATTATCTCCACTTCCTTCATCTAACAAATATTTCCTGAGCACCATCCATGTGCTAAGCACCCTGCATACAAATCTAACAAACAGAAATGACCCCAGCCTGTATGGAGCTTGTGGTCCACTGCAGTAATCATCAGTAATATCTACCAAGATTCTCTACCATTAATAGGGAGCTCTGTTCTGAGTGCTTTACACAGATTACCCTATTTAATCTTCATCCCCACCTCACAAGGTAGGTGAAAGTATTGTATCATCCCTGTTTTACAGTTCAAAGAAACTGGGGACCAGGGATGACATGATTTATTCAAGGTCCCACAGCTAAAAGTGGTGGAGACAGGACGTGAGCCCCAAAGACTCAGACTCCAGAGAGACATGTATCAAATGATCACACAAACAAATGCAAAACTGCAACTTCTGGAGCTTGATATGTGTCTTGAAGGTAGAGAAATATTACCAATGAGACAAAGTTAACACATGGGGGCTGATCTGGTGTACCAAACTCCCCTGAGGAACACAGTCACGCTGGTGCCTGAAAGATGAGTAGAGAAGAAGTAAGTAATGGGGAAAGGCAAGGCATTCCCAGCAGACAGCAGCATGTGCAAAGGCCTGGTGGTAGAAGGAAGCATGGCAGACTCCAGGAACCAAGAGGGGGTCTGAGCAGTCTACACTGAAAGCTGTGCACCGTCTATACTGCAGGCCACATATTTGGTATTCATTCTAAGGGTAAGGGAAAGTACCGAGAGACTCTAAGCAAGCTATCAAATAACTTATTTCCCAGAGGCATGAAGATGAACCCCAACTCAACATACAGGCAAGGAAATGGACCGACACAGAGTCCTGGGATGACAGACCAAGCCTGGCTTTCAACACAGATGCATTTGGGTCAAAATTCTGAAACACAAGCTTTAAGCAGGAGAGGAAGAAAGGTCACCATGTAGCAATGAGAGCTTTAGCCAAGGACTCCACTCAAAGTCCCAGCCTTGTGCAGAAATAAGGTGTTTACAGAGCCCGATAAGGCAGCATACTCTCCTCAAGTGGTTTCCATCCAAAGCTGGCCATGCTTTTCAAAAAATACTGTATCCTGGCAGGGTGTGATGGTTCACGCCTGTAATCCCAGCACTTTGGGAGGCCAAGGCAGGCAGGTCACTTGAGTTCAGGAGTTGGAGATCAGCCTGGCCAACATGGGAAAACCCTGTTTCTACTAAAAATACAAAATTAGCTGAGAGTGGTGGCTCGCCAACTGTAGTCCCAGCTACTCAGGAGGCTGAGGCAGGAGAATCATTTGAACCCAGGAGGCAGAGGTTGCAACAAGCTGATATCCCACCACTGCACTCCACTCTGGGGACCCTACCTGTATCCGGGCCCTATCCCCACCAGGGATTCTGATTAAGCTGGTTTGGGGGGCAACTGGAGCACTGAAACTTTTTGTTTTAAACATTCACATTCTTCTTGGAAAAGTGGCTGGGCAGGAAATATGCAAGATAAGCCAAGAACATTGTGTCACACTGTACAACAAGGAAACTAAGCATAAACAGGATTGTTACAAGGCCCAAGCGCCAAGCACAAGTTGGACCGCAGGCAAAAAGGGACAATTTGAGCTTGGACAAAGAGAGTAGATGCAACACTCTGAAACATACCAGGTATGTTTGTGGGGGGTTTTTGTTTTGTTTTTTGAGACTGGGTCTTGCTCTGGCTCCCAGGCTGGAGTGCCGTGGCATGATCCTGGCTCACTATAACCTCTCGTCTGCTGGGTTCAAGTGATCCTCCTGCCTCGGCCTCCCAAGTAGCTGGGATTACAATGAGCCAAGACACTGGGCTAATTTCTATTTTCAGGAGAGACTAGCTTCACCCTGTTGGTAAACAGGCTGATCTTGAACTCCTGACTTCAAGTGATCCACCCACCTCAGCCTCCCAAAGTGCTTGGATTACAGAAATGAGCCACCACGCCTGGCCAAAAACCTCCATGTGTACTTATGTACTTAAGGTTTTAATGATTAATTTCACATTTTAATGTGAAAAGTAATGAGTCTCTAGCAGTCTTATCCTGACAACTGGGTCTGATTATAAAGCACTATTTTGCTGAGTCCCATTTGCCTTCAAATCACCTATTTTGAGTAAATACACTAGTTTCGTTTTCCACCCCTCAATAGGGGCGGTAAATACTACTAGGAGAAAAACCATAATTAGCATCAGTACAAATTCAAAGTTTCCAACCTGAACGTAGCATTGCTTTGTAATTTCTTTTTTTCCCATCCTAGGTTACAGTCTCCTATTACCCCAAAATGAAATCTCAAATGTCCTCCATTCTGCATAAAACCCATGCTGGCCCCCTCAGTGGAAAACATCAACCATGAATTACGGGTCTCTTCACTTCACCTTCACACCACCGATTTCTGTCATACTGCCTGTGCTTATTACCATGTATGTCTAGCATTAGACTGGACTCCTAGGGAAAAGGAATTCACATTCATTTCTTGGTCCCGAGGGCAAAACTCCAAAGTGTAATTAAGGAAAGAACTCCAATTCTTTCAAGTTCTGAATTCCTGGTCCTCTGAAAAATGGCAGTGTGAATTCAAGCTCAGCTTGTTTTCCTGATCCAGTTCTCCATCTTACAAAATAAGCCAAGAAGGCAAAAATGTCTAGAGATTACTCCCCCATGGTAATCTTTGCAAATAAAACTTTTAGACCTAACTTTATACTAATAAAAATTTGATGATTTTTTTTTTTTTTTTTTTT